GCATGATCGGACTTGAGCTTTATATAATGAGAGAAGCTGTCCAGGCGTGAAGTATCGCTTAACCTTGTTAAGGATGCCCAGTTTCTTGGCCGCAGTCTGTGCCTTCGACTCGATGTTGTCGCCAAAGTTAAGATTTGCACTTAACCTTATGCCAAGAAGCTCTAGACTGTCGGAAATCTCTACAGGTGTACCACGAAAAGTAGGAGTCAAGCTGAACGGACTCCTTTTTGCGGAAAATAGACAGGCTTGCGTTTTGGCGGCGTTGAAATCGACCAGATTGTCATCACCCCATTGTGAGACAAGACTTAAGGTCGCATTTATACGCTCTACCATGGCCTCTCTCAAAGTACACTTATCAAAGCCTACGATAAAAGGTATAAAGGTATAATAACCTTATCTTAGCGCTATATAGAAAAACATTTTACGTATATTGGTATGCCCTAACAAATATGTGACACATGCCTGCAGAACGTGTACCGAGTAAGATGTAACGCCATTTCATTTTCTGGGGAGTGTGGACCTCTCATGCATAAGCGCAGTATTCATCTAAGGAAATACTTTCTAGCCCCAGATGATATTATGGAGTATACTTAAGCAAATCCTGCAATTTATTACAGTTGCAGGATTCTGTGGCTTACTCTGGTTCAACATGCGGCGATTACAATAGTCCAGGAATGATCGCAGTGATATTCTACAGCTGCAACAATTAAACAAAAAAAAGGCCAAATGGGTGACGAAAGTCAATTTTCAAACTTATAAAATGATTATTCTAAAATTATCGATTATATTGCATATTTTGAAACCAGCTATTAATTATATATTTTTCATGCTCTTATTGGTGTTTTATGATCGAACCGCCAACTGTAAATGGTACGTTCACTGCATTATTAGTGTTAAAACTTTATAGTTTGCGTCATTGCGCTGACATGCGTCGGATATAGGTACCTACTGTCTTTGAATTTTAGACAGACCTTTTTATTTATAACATTAATATTACCCTTGTCTGGAGAAAAAAAATAGGAATTTCATTACGTTAATCTACAGGTAACAGGATCATCATAAGGACTATAGTGAATGTATTGCAGACATCCTTTTTTATTTGCCCAAGTGTAATTAGAACTGCTGTTTAGTATTCATTTTCTTACTACTTACTGCATTCCGTCAAATCTGCAACGAAAATTTTTTTACTCCATGTGTTTATACAATGAATTTGTAATGAAGTACTCAAGTATTGGCATGGGTTGTGTTGCAATTTATTAACCTTTATAAAATGTACCTAATAGTAATTGTTTTAGAAAACATAACTAAACTTCTACCTAAAATAAAAAATCTAACTAAAATAATAAAAACTTATCTCGCCATTCGAGCTTTAAGTGAAAAAGCTTTCAAAATCCCTAAAAGTTTTCAACCCTTTAAGCTAAAAGTTTTCAATGGGTTCGATTAACACCATCTTATTCAAATAAATAGAATAGTGTAGCCGAGAAATATGTTAAGCAGGTATAGAAAATGTAAAGGAATCGAACAATTGGCAAAACTGTTCACTGTTAATACTTTTAATATAAACTTTATTATATGGTAATGAAATGTGGACATGGCAGAAGAAATATGAAAGTAAGATAAATGCATTAGAAATGCGATTTCAAAAGTATAATTCGCTATAAAGAGATGCTGCATGACAAAAATAATGATGAAATACTTGCTCCAAAACACGGGGTTGTGACACCGTCAACTTCCCAACTCTGGGTAGTTTCTTTACAGAAAAGTCCAGTGACTAAATTTGGGTCTACACATTATCTTCACATACATAATATGTAGGTACTATTTTTCATTGTTTTATTTGTACTCGTTCCGAGTCTTGCTACGTGTATTGTATGTCTGTGATTGCATAATATTATGTTTCTTCGTCAACTTGTTCTCCTCTTTTTACGCAGCCAGGTTTTAATTTATGTAAATTATTTTTTATTTACAGCTTTTTAGTTTTGGTCAGTTAGACACTACTTAGACACAATTTCTTATCCTAAATTATTTTTAAACCTATGAGCTATGTATATTTTTGTAATATCTTCTCTCGTCTCTTAAAAACCTGTATTTTGATACCCCATTCGATTAATTAAGATAAATAAAATTTTTCAAGACACACTAATTTGCGCCTAGCATCCGCTACTTTGATTTTTAATGATATCTGTATACTCTTTGACACTCGCGTTATCAAGACGAATCTAACGACATATGAATCATCAAAAACGGTTAAGCCGTTTAGTAATTACAAGGGAATATAGGGTCGGACATCCTTACATACACACATGCATACAGGTCAAACACATAACTCTCCTTTGGGCTTGGCCGCATCGGGTCATTACGTCATCGACACATTTTTATCATTTATGTTTTATATTATTTCACATCGAGAGTTATATTCGTCTTGTAAATAGTTTTTATAACAGACTATATTCAAAAGGAACTCCTGTGTTTTGCTTACTGTACGTTGCGCTCTTAAGCGTTGCCCGCCCTTTGAACACCATGGTTAGTTTTTAAGATATTGCTTAGTGCTTAAGTAATGAAATAATGGTTATCAAATTACTTTTTAAAATTATAACGAAAAATATATTCTTTGGCATATACGAAATACTATACCTATTAAAATGCTTTCCAATGTACCTATTATAAAAATATTATTAATTTTTATGTACACATATAACGATTGTATGACGTTCACTTTATTGAGCTATTTTAGCACTTTTTTATTCCAGATGTTAAAGGAAAGGAAGTGTTTATTATAAACCTATATTTCAAGCTATTTTGTCGAAACACCTTTTCCTTATGCAGAAAAAAATATTACGAGCACATGTTACTAAAAGGGAGGCACGCACCCCTATTGTTATTGCTCGTTTATGTTAATTATTACATGGATACATTGAAAATATGAATATTTTATAGAATCATATATTATAATTATTTCATGTCCAATTTAACATAAATCACATTTTATTAAATATGTAGTTTGGTCCAGTTTATTAAATAATAAACGTCAATAACCAGCTTATGTCACCGTTCAATAGAGGTGTGGATTCCGAATTGTTAACCCCATTTAGTGTGACGATGGTACTTTATCGGGAAACAGGGTGTAATGGAAAGCTCGAGAGTAATAAATTACTTTCATCGGTACACGGCTCACAGCGCTTTTTTTCTTTGTAACCAAGCCTACGATTTATGGCCTCCAAACAAGGCCAAGTTCTACAGTTTTTTATAAGAGCCGCCAATACATTTGTATAAATTGAAAATCGATTATCGTTTTAGATGAATGTGCCTTTCCATATTTGAAACTCCTCTTTTTAATTCGAAAATTATTACATAAAATGTCTTTTAGGTCCTTCGTGTTATTTCTACGTGAATAATTTCTAGTGCGCTGAGTCGTAAAGGACACATTCAATGCATTAAGACAAGTTGAAATACTAAAGAAAGTGTCTGAAATTAAAGTATAGTGAAATAATATTTTTTGTACTCATTGGTTTTTGCACATGATGGTGAATATAGTATACGCAATTATCACTCCATTAGTGATACAATTTTAAGTACATTTATTATCTCCTACGTTTCTTCTAAAAAAAAATATAGTCAAACTCTCTAGATCCACCGAAGCCTGTTACAAAGTTAAAAGATATTATAAATCAATTATATATATATATATATTATTCAGTATATTATCTCAAATTAAATTAGTCAAAACGCAAAATCTAAATTCCTTATTGTAGGTTGACTTGTTCATGGCTTTTACAAGGCCAGGCCTAGAAGCTTATAGGTTACAGTACATTTTTTGTCGTTGCCTATTGACCTAGAAACCTGAAGCATTGTAGAAAGTGCATAATGAAAATGAATATACCTATTGTTGATTATTAAAATTTACTAAAATAAATAATTCTCTTTATTAAAAGAAGAAAATCACGGTAACTTAATATTTTTAACTTAAATCACGGTAAATATTTATTTACTCTATTACATTTTTATTAATAGTGTTGCCGTTTATATTATTCTATAGGTATATGTACTCGTAAAAGTTTGTAAAACAGCAGTAATGTTCAAATGACAATTGTTACGACAAAATGAACTTTAAAAACGTATTTTACACGTTTGGGTATGCATTTCTATTTTAGGAATTCGAACATTAACCGATTAAGTACAAAACAGTGTAGCTATTAACGGTAAATTATTTGTAGCTGGAGTATTGGATGTGATATATTTTGTGAACGATTATGATGAATGCCGGCACATAGAAGGCTACGTATGAGGTCGTGAGAATGCCGAAGTTTCGTAGCAACTGTATGATAGCTTCGTATGGGCAACTCCAGGGCAGCCTGACCTAGATCTCGACGTTGCTTAGTAGCAGAAGCATTGGCAAAATGTTTTTAAAATGGCCTCTGTTATATATTCTAGTCCTTGGTTAAACATTAATATTTTAAAAATGATGACACGTTTGGCTCAGTTTGTAGTAGCCCTACTTGCTCTGCCAGTGGTCGCGGGTTTGAATCTCGCTGGGGGGCTTTCATTTATGTGATAAGCACGATTTTTTGTATTTCAGACATGGGTGTTTATATTTATAATGTGTATGTATTTAAAGTTATATACGAGTATGTGTAGTGTATATCAACTATCTGGTATCCACGGAACTAGATGGTGCTGTGTATTAATGTCCCAACATATTTATTATTATTTATTAAAAATAGCCAATCTTAAAAACGAATATTTTTACTGAATTCAATAATATTATTTACTTATATTTTTAATATGTTAATTAGTGTAATGAATATAATTTCCAATAAGGCAAAATTGTAAGATGTCTATTAATATAATTATAACAGAAACCACAATAGTTACTTCGTAATAACAATTAGTATTAAATATTTTTTACAGTCACTCAGACACTTTTTAATTAAACATTTCATCAAAGTTATTTATGTAAGGCCTATCTATGCATTAGCAATTTTAAGTTTTCTTTAAAATCAATCCTGTAAGCATCCCGATCCTGCACGAGCGTACGTCAACAAGTACTTCGCAGGACTCTGGGGGGATGCGGCGGAGGGGCGCACCCTTGGGGTGTTCAGGGGTTGAGATTCAACTGGTGCAATGCGGCGTACCCCTTCGCTCATCCCACAGTCCGGGTTTGTTTTTACTATTGTATCTGCGGCGCACAGTTGGCACGCTAAGCGTTGATTTTGTTTCGTTTGTTTTGTATCAATAGATAAAATGGCAATACCTCTACTCATTTTTTTTTCATTGGCCTCATCGAATAAATTACTTATTAAGGGTTTTGGATAGTCCAAATTCCAATACTTTGTGCGTTTCCAAATAAAATACGTACAGAGTTTAATTTTATTGCTCTTAGTATGAGCTTTTGATTTTATTCATTATTCTAATAATTTGATTAATTTACATCTTTAATTTTACATAATTCGAAAACACGACTGTGTGACGGAATAGACGGTATTATAATTTGCCATCGTGTTGGTACTTGTTTGATTTGAATTTATTTTTAATATAAAATATACTAACAGAATATGTGATACATTTTATAGATGTGTGCAAATCTACTTGTACATTTTTGTAGGTATCTACTTGTACATTTCCTTGAACAGAATCACAGAGAAAATATGAAAACATTTTTAAAGCACAAATTGCGTGGCGCCGGTGAGACAGGAACCGGATATGAGTTAGGCAAGGCCAAATTCTAGGGAAACATATTACAAGTATGGACGCCAAAGTCGTTCTCGAGCTTCTCAATCCATTTCAGCGTGATTTATATAGTAGAATGCAGTAAAGCCACTCGTATTTATATTTATAATATTATATTACTATTATATAAGTATGTATATTTAAAGTTTTTACAGTTTGTGTTTACTTAGAAATTGGCGGTGAGCAAATACCTACCGGCTAGTCAAAGGAGTTACTTCAACGTTTATAATTATAGATAATTTAACATTAATTTATTATAAATACATAATAACTATCAATATTGATAAGAGACGTTGTAAGTAGTAATTTATGTTCTTAACTAGATAATAAACAATAAACATAAAAGTTCCCCGCAGCGCTGAGTTTGTGTTCGTTCGGCCAAATCTCAGAAACTACTGTATGCATTTTTATACAATTTCCACTATTACGAACAGGGTTTCTCTAAGAATATTAGAAGCTATTCTTATTTGATATATTATGAAGCAGAAGCTATAATTCATAAAAATATGCGACAATATAATATATTGCTGCCGGTATGGTGACGGACACACCAGACTGAAACGAGGTTGGATCACTTATACTGTTATGGTGCATTGGAAAATGACGACATCATTACGGTACAGACACGTAATTATACACTCACATCTACTCCAATTTGTCAGTTCAAGTACTATATTATAGTATACACAAGAATTGGATGAATATTACACGTGTAATTTACATTTTGCAACCGCCTATTAGTTCTTGATAACCTAAAAAAATAAGTCCTTTAAACTAAAAACAGAATCCATTAAGATCACTTAAATAAACAAAACCGAGATAATTTGGGTCGTTTAGAATTTAAATAAAATAAATGTTAACTTTTCAAAATCAATTTAATATGAGATACTTACGAGTCATACAAAGCCTGTTGTAGCTGAGCAGAGTGAACAGAATACGCCGATTGTTCTCCTGAAAATCGATTTACAACTTGTTAGCTTCACGCTACGTTTGAATAAAGTGAGTGGCGAAACTCGATTTTCCACTACCATTCGATTAATTAAAACCGATGTCGATCGCCACTATTGGGTACGATATTCACAAACTACATAAATGGAAAATGCTTGTTTATTTTTTGTTTCTTTTTATCGTTATATAATTGGAAAAATATATCCGGCTCCGAAAATCTAAAATTTTCTCACCTATTTTTGCATTTTTCTATAATTATTTTCATAATGAAAAAGACATTAAATTAAAAAATATTGATATAGGCTTAATTCAGAAGCAATAAAGATTATAAAAAAAAATATTTTCCTTTATTTAAATCACACTCATATTCACTTTTCCACTCATACGAGGCAATGATACTGTAATCTGGTGGGTATAGTCCCGATATATGCAGTCTTTTGTTGCTCTTTTTCATACATTTGCTACAATCCAAAATTCAGAAATCTTTAGGTACATTATTGCTACTTGCACTTTATGTCACGTGACTATAATAATTGTATACCCTAGTTGGCAATATATTTTTGATGAGCGTTATAGCGCTGGGTGTTTGTACCTATTTGATTGGGACTGACTACACCGGACGATACTCGTGCCAAGATATGACCTGGCGTTTTGTATCAACGTCCTTATTCTAAACGTTGACTGACATATAATATCTATATATAACATATAATGTAAATTCATTCATGTTAAGTGATATAAAACAGTGAGAAGTCTCTTGATTTCATTTTTGTCATTTGCTTAATTCGCTCATTATCCTGTCACAAGTCATTTACATCAGTAAAGTATAGCTAAATGTACTGGGTATAGTATATTTATGTGAAACATTACTATATTACCAACAAATAATTAAAATCTATACATATATCTCGAATCTATAATGATATTTGGTTATTATATATATTAGAGAAAACCCGAGCGGAGCGACGGTGAGTCGCTAGTACTATTTATCAAAGAAGTCTGGCAGATTAATTTATTTACGTAGCGCGCTCAAAGCCTTTAAGTCTACAAAGTTTCTATAAGGTTACTTACTGCATACACTGTTTATAGACGAGTACATTTAGCCTTTTACTAAAACGGTTACCCAATATAAACCAAATTATAAGCGCAGTAAACTACGTATGACATAAAGTAAACGTCCAATGTTTAAATTGTAAATCCTACATTTTAAGTTATGTTTTGTTTATTTTAGCTGATTTACACAGTCGCACAGACTAATAGCAAACTACACGTATCTACGAATAGCATTCTTATGTGTTCATTTAAATGTATATGATAATTTCGTTCTTCTGTTTTTATTAACTCGCTTTTCTGTCATTTATTTTTATATACCATATGCACTCCATTTCCTTTCATATCTTTTTTCAATCGATTTTAAGTTAACTTCCCAATGGGCTTTCCTGAAATGTTTAATTAAATCTGAACTGGGTGACCAACGAACAAATATTTATTTTTCATTTTCAATATTATAACTTTTTATTAACCTATCAACAATCTTAAATTTTAAATTTCTTAATTGAAATGATTTTATTTATAAAAGTCTATCTATAAATCTCTTTGTGTTAATATTTTAATTAGTGTAATAGTAGACACTTAATTGTTCAAATTGAAAATGCAATTTATTCGACTGCTTAATTTTACCAATTAAATTATGTGAAAATTGATTGAGTGTGCTATTTATTATCAATAATTAAATGGAAAATTTTCTACCGTAAAAATCCCATAATAATGTAAAGCAATGATCACTTTATTGACTTTATAATAACTGCGCAAAGAATATTTAGCGTGCCGCGTTTGGAATTTAAGGCAGAGCTACAGGTTGGACAACAAGAGCCACAGGTTGACTATGCAAGTTATTGACGATCTCAGAATAACTCTTCCAAATTCTAGTCCCGGTTGGGCTTACCACTTAATCCTATTAGTATATTATCAAAGCCACTAGCTATAATCGCCAAGCTGGCCAAATGTGGGTTGGCGGACTTATGTCTTTCGAGAACAGTTAGTTTCTCTCAGAGATGCAGGTCACGATATTTTTCTTCACCGTATTAGGTAGTGGAAGTTATAGTGAGATGAGATTTTCACGTGAAAATCTTAGATATGCAGGACTTTAACCCGCTTCACGTAGTTTATCAAGCACGTTCAGAATAAGCAACTTCTTTTTATGGTTATTCTAAGTATATTTGCTCTCGTCTTTCATATAATTTCCGTTTTAGAAATAAGGACCCAGTTTGAAGTCAATAATTCACTCCCTTTGTCGTAGTCATTAAATATACAAAGTTAATTTTAAAAGTGCTATAGATTATATTTAAACTACAATACTAAATACATGTATGTATGAAATAGCAAAGCGAAATCTAATTAAATTAAGAAGCTGTATTATTACTCTTCAATGAACATTAATAGGTTTAAAAATTGTAATGTCCAACTTCTGATTTAGCAACATTAATTTATAAGTAAGTAACAAATACAGGTAATAAGTACATAATACTACGGGTGTAAATACACTTTTTTGTAAATATTTATAAAATGTTATTAACAAACTAATGTATACGTAACAAAGCGCGCGTCACAGTCGTATATTAAGCTCTTTAAACGAAGATGAAAATATGAACATCAGTAATTTTAAAATAAATCCTGTTAAAATGACGTGTTTAAATATGACCATGGTAATTGTAATGACATACACAATACATAAATATATATAATACATTCATGCTAATAAGCGATAGCAATTATTATGCTAATAAGCGATAATATAATTTTATTTATTTCAAATGACCAATAAAAAACCAATAAATGCGAAATTTTGTATCTCCAAAAACATTATTTTGGAGGGACCAAAAAATGTGCATATAAAAATGAAACATTTTACTTGTGCAGGTTACACCGAGGAGCAGCCTTCCACACAATTCACCGCACAACTTCCGAACGAGGTGAGCCCGGCTCCACCCGGCCCCTCTCAGCCGGCGACTCAGCCTCTCTCCTACGCACTTCTCCACCTCTCCGCCTCCGACTCGACAGAACCGCCTTTTCTCCAAGTGCAACTCCAATCTTCGCCTGTCTCCCCTCCTCCGCCACCGGCGAGCGGCAAGTCCAACTCACTATGCTACTCCAGCACGGGCACCCTTCTATCTCTACCGCCAAAGAAGAAGGACATCTATCGCCCATACTGTCTTGGCGACCGCGCTTATCTACATCGCGCTGAAGAGGACCTAAACGCGGCGCATGCAATCCTCGACTTGAGTCAACATGCGGTGTTTCTAACGACTCCTCCTCGAACTGACCCAGCTCCACCGCCAGAACCGCCGCCTGCACCGCCCGAGCCCACACAAGAACAAAATGCGGAGCGGCCAAAAGAGACAATCGCCTACACATACGACGCCTTTTTCGTAAGCGACGGCCGATCTAAGCGTCGAAATTATGCAAATGCCCCAATTGAGAGTGCCCAACAACCAGAACAAAAATCAAAGTATACATGTAGCGAATGTGGCAAACGATATGCAACCTCTTCCAATCTTTCGCGACATAAACAAACTCATCGCAGCCTAGACTCCGTTGCGGCAAAACGCTGCGGTGAATGCGGTAAAGCCTACGTGTCGATGCCGGCGCTCGCCATGCACGTGCTTACCCACCAGCTGTCGCACGTGTGCGGCGTATGCGGCAAATTGTTCTCGAGGCCTTGGTTGCTGCAAGGTCACCTCCGCTCTCACACAGGCGAGAAGCCGTACGGATGCGCACATTGCGGGAAGGCATTCGCCGATCGTTCCAACTTAAGAGCGCACATGCAAACTCACTCCGCTGATAAAAATTTTGAATGCCTGCGTTGTCATAAAACTTTCGCCCTCAAGAGCTACCTCAACAAACATCAGGAATCCGCATGCGTGCGCGACGACGAGTCACCACCTCCCGAAACACCCGCCCCCGTATCCGACTAAACGCGCAACAACCGAAAGCAACCAGGGACCGTAATCACTGTTGTAAGATTTACATATAAACTTAAAGTATTAATATGAATTTAGTTCACTAGTGTAATTAAGATAAATATACAAATTCTAAAATAGGTAGAAGCGCACGACCGGCGCCGTGCGAGAGCACTGGCCGCCCGCGTCGCGCCGCAATCGAGCAACGTTTCGCAAACAACGAATCACGTACGACCCCGTAGCGCCGCAAATGCGGTGATAGGCCGTAGCGATAAACGTCCTAATAACGTTAATATTGAATTATGTATATACATGTCGATAAAATATACCCTTATATACATAGAAGTAATGAAATACGAATGAAACTAATATCTTTTGTAGGTGATTTTTACAAACCGCGTAGTAGGTTAGAGAGTATTAGGATGTAAGTCGAACATGAAGTCGCGAGAGCCAGGCGCCGAGCTCGTCGGTGGACGAAGACGGGCGCCCGGGCGCGCAGCGTCGTCCGTCTCGGTGAGGAACTTGCCAAAACTATCCGTCCGAAGGTCCGCACACGCCGTCGCGCGCCGCCGCCTGCGACAGTGCCTTAGCAGACGGCTCCACATCGCTTTACAAGCCGCTTCCCAGTTCCCCTACATCTCTCTTCCAATATTATCAAAATATTCTCAATCTCTCATAAAATTTGATCATATTTTTTGCTCTTAATTATTCCAAACCATAATTTGACGTTTATCATTAAGGTCAGCTAACGAACTGGTATAAGAGCAATAAAATATATAAATATATTTATATATGTATACCGAATGAAATGTGTGTTATATTAATATCGTAAAAATGGTTAAAAATAACTGGTTATGGACGGGCGACGGCGCGCTAGGCGACGGCTGTAAGGGACGGGCTTCGCCGCGTCACTCAGCGAGCATGCCTTTAGATTGAGTGTGTTATTAGTGTCAAGTCAAACGTAACTGGCAATAAACTAGTTTAGAATAAGGTAGAATTAAAACTAGAATAATGAGGTGAGCACGAGGTGCTCGGAAGAAATGGGTATTCGAAAAGCAATAATAATGTAGGCACTAATCAAGTCGCGCACCGCTGTCGAATAGACACAGCTGACTTTATCCTATCCCCGTAGCGATCCGTAGCTCTCGTAGAAGAGTGTTACGTCGGCTACGCAGCGGGCTACGCCTTGCGCCATGAGATGCGCTATCCCTCACGGACGCGGGTCCTTTACATATTATACAAGACGAAAACAAAGTACATCGTTTAGGGTTTCCACCCTCTGCGTCGTCGATGTCACCCCTAGCATATTAGTTGAAGCCTCGCGAGTCAATTCTTTATCAGTGAATTTCAGTTAACCCTGTCAATTAAAAAATCCTCTATAAAAAGTTCCTGTATGTTTAAATATAATTCAACAATTAGAAGTAGATAGTTTCTTTTAGTTATGAACAATAAACTGGCAGTTGTAAATGATTTACAAGAAAACGGCAACTTCCCTATTCTCACTATGTTAGTACCAACAATGTGTTTCAATACGTAAACTGGTTTCTAATTTAGGTCACATTTTCCCTGTAATTGATCCAAATGTAGTGTGCTACAAATATATTATCTACCAAACACTTTTAATATTTATAAGTAATATTTTTATTTATACAAAAAGCTTAACCAGACAAAGGTTGCGCGTTTAAAGCAATATAATGTTAATGTATAAGCAATATTATGATAGAATTTACGTAGTTTATATATTCATCGTTTATTAATATTTGGTGCTTCAAAGTACTTTATATGTAGATTGAGAAATTGATAAAACGAAATTAACATCGAATATTTTGTAATTAGTCTTAAAAGTGTGATATTATTTTTTGCATTGAAGATTTATACGTTAGTAACCCATTCATTCTATCACTATGTTCTACCAACTTCCCTCTCCTTTCTCATTTAGCTATTCGTATCTTTAAAAATACCTAAGCCAATCGTGTAGAATCTAGCGTTTATACTCTTAAACATAATCCTTCAATTTACCCTTATATTACTATAGATGCATAGTCTCCTTCGTCTTTGTAGAAAATGCTAAAATTTGGCTTTTAAAAAAATCTTAATCAAGATATTTTATTCAAATATTTATATTAACGTTATTGTAGTCGTAGAGGTTATAGATTAAGGTAGCAATATTGATATTGACGAAACCAATTTATATACAAATTATATAATGATATTTTAATGTAAATATTTCATGGTGTACCAAAATTCCTTCTTTACAATTATAAAAGTAGTTCTATAATATATATAATTTACGTATTTATAGTGGTCAGTAAAGTTATTCAGACCAATGAGTCTACAAAATAGATTAAATAATTCTCTGCTAGAAGTTAACTTCCAAGCTATATATAGGTCCATTGATTTTACTGCTAAGTAAAAGACAACTTAATTTCTTGGAATAATAAATAAAAAAAGTTATGCCTTACAGAACCACTGTGTTTGAACATATTATGTATATATATATACTTGGTAAATAGTATTTTTGTGGATTTAGTATTATTACATAACTTTTGGCAAACATAAAATAGATTTTGAACTAACACAACAGTATTGTGAGTAAGTTTTCGAAATTCGAGTTTGAAATCCTCTCTACAAGAAAAATACTTTCGTATAATTACTGTTTTTAAATGAAAGGAAAATCTATTTTTGTTCCATTTTTGAAAATAGCAAAATAATTATAATTACAATGATTACGAAATTAATACTGTAAATTATTTCATTCTGGAGACATAAAATATTTAAAAAAAAGCAAAAAAAACTCGTAAATTTTACTCAATAGGTAATATATTGAAATTAATATATTTTGACGTAATAAGAACTAATTGTGCTTTTCCAAATACCTACAAAAATATTGACATGTTTTAAAAGATCTCGTAACAAAGCTGCGTAAAAAAATGTATGAGTTATAGGTTATAAGTTGCTCCATATGTACATAAATAGCACTTAATGAGAAGAAATAAAATTTTTAAAAATTTATAGATTAAATATGAAACACGATTACAGTGATATAACAAATAACAAGTAAGATTGTCCAAATTAGCAATATCTAAGCAATAATATGTTATAGGAATTTAATGATAGTCTAGTTCTAGTAGTTTAGTGTAATGACTCCATGAAAGCAATATTATTTAATAAATTAAGCGTTAGTTACGTTAGTTTAGATATAAGTAAGTTCATAAAGCGAGTTAAGTCGATTGCAACATGAGTATAATATTTTACATCGATATTTTTATCAAAATGAAAGAAATAGATAGTATACAGGCTCTGCGACTAGGTAAAAATTTTAATTATCTATCGAATTACGCGTGATTTCAATATTATTATTTATTGGATTTTTCGAACATTCTCTTTAATTCTGTATTCAGATTACTTTAAAACTTAAACCTACGATTTTTATACCGACGTAAGTAGGCGTAAGCAATTTCATGCGGCTTGCAAGTAATGCCTTATTGCGTCCAATCAATATTTCTGATATTGTTGTATTTGTATAAAATATTAAGAAACGATTTTTAAGCATATATCCATGGATATTTTTGAAATAATTTATTTACGTTACACATTACAATTTTGTGTATAGACTACGGCTCTGTTGAATAGTTAAAGCTGTCATTGTTGAATGTAAACGATTAAAATTAAAATCTCTCGCAAATCCGGATTAAATAACGAATGTTTGTTTATTTTTTGCAATCATATCGTTGACTTCTGCGTGCTATAAAAAGCTAATCCACGCCAAACCAAATCAACTAAAAGCTGTGTAGTGAAACCACATTTTTTTATCTTTTCATGTTTAAATCACTTTGATGTATAAAATTTTACGAGTGTAACAAATCGTTTACAGGATGTATAATAATGATGTTCCTCTGCGAGTTTTTTTTTTAAAATCTCTACTTATACCATGCATTTATCCAATTAATACGGTTTCACCTAATTACTATCTGAAACAACATAATAAACATATTTTGATGTAGGTAATAATATTTCATACTATTTTTTAAATGGCAAAAGAATATAACATTGTAGAATAATATTTATAAAATAAATTTTTGTCATTTAAAAACGTGTCAAGATTTATATAATTCACTGCTATAATTTAAATACATGGTTCATAACAGTCACAAAATTCTGAGCCACATTTTGTCATAAAGTGAATTTTGCCAAAATTTCATGTGACAAACAATATCAAGCAAATTATACTAAGTATTTAACATATCCACCTGAACGTGTATGACACGTTGACATTAAACTAAAATAGAAGCATGAATATAGTCGGATTTTAGACCACAAATAATTTAGATAAAATAAACTTCAAAGCTCACTACAAAGGCCCTTGGAATAACATGTTGACAAGGTATAAGTAGAAGTGTACTATTTTGACTGTTTCAAATAGTGTATTTACTTATACAAAAATTCGCAGAGGTAACAAACATTAAAGCAAAGACTTGATTCATGTTTAGCTGTTATCGAAATATAGAAACGTATTAATTTTCTTGAACTGTTTACATATTGTTATTAGCTGTTGCGTGTAGATTTCTAAGGTATTTTGTTTAAAATTATTTATATCAGGAAACTTATAGAATAAACGGTGTGTATTTGAAATATTATATTTATATATATGAAATTAAAAAGCAATAAAACAACGATAGCAATAATATCGAAGATGACAACGAACATTTTTGTTGGTTATTATAATGATGATAAAACTATTGAGGTTAAATTAGTTACTATTGAATCGTATTTGTAGACTCAGCGCTACTTTTAATTTTTACTTTAGAAATTATACACTAAATAGTATTTATTATTATGTACTCATTCGACAATCGAAATTCTAGACATATTAAACATATGTATGTAACAGTAAGCTTAAAATATTTATATTATAGAAAGATCTTTTTGAATGTTGTTGAATGAAACTGTTTTTCTCTTTATTTGAATGAAATTGTTAAAATAATAAATATTCTTTTTTACAACCTAAGTTATAATAAGACATACAGTATTTCTATTATATTAATAGCTATGAGTAATCTTCGTGTTTCAGCTGTCACTGTGTAACTTTGATTGCCCTTTGCACTTGATGCGGCCGCACGCTATCGACTGGATGTATAAATTATAATTTATTCTTGACATTTTATTCTTTTACTATTGTATTTTTGAAGGTCAAAAAATATTATTGCAAATTTTAATGTTATTTTAAAGACATAGTTTTACCATCGAGCCCAAACCAGTACAGTACCGAGGTACTTTCGAATTTAAATTATTTCAAAGCCCCGCTATAAAAAAAAATACTAGAAATAAAATTCATTTTTGGAGTGCACAGAGATAAACGAAACTAATTGTTAGCTATTAATTAAATAAAAATACTGTAAGCGTGTTCGCTCTGCACGCTACGTGTCTACGAAATTGTCACGTCATCAAGTATTCATATGTCAAAGCAAGTAAAGTCGTTTAAAGTTAAACATGAACATTTGAAATTAAGTATAGGTTTGAAGTGTGAAGAGTGAATAGTTTGAAAATTTTAGTTTATCACATTCGACATACCTTTACAAATAAACTATGATAGTAAAATACTCGT